TCATGTTGAAAGACAAAACGATTAATCGATTCATGGAGAAAATAATCTGTAGATAATTACCTATTGATAAGATATTGAAAAATATCTTAATTATCTAATTGTTTAAGCAATTTATCAGGGATTAAATTTGATTCCAGCCTCTTAAATTGGAGATTTTGCCTGCTTTTTTTAATATTTATATGATTGTAAACAGAATATATTTTCTGAAAAACAAGGAATTTTAAGAACATCATCTTTATATATTGTATTTTTATTTTATTCCATAGCCTCTACAAGCCTGATCAAAACATAAATAGCTTAGTTTTGCTTCAATCACATAATCAATAAATGTATTATCATTTATCCATGACAGTGCAAAAACATGCTGACAGCCTCCATCCCAGTAAAACACATTAATGTGATGATGATGATTATTATCATCACACGAGACATTGCATGAAGAAGTAATTCAGATTCAGATTCAGAAATACTGTAACGGAATATAATTTCCCTCTGGGATTATTAAAGATTTTCTGAATCTGGAATTCTGAATTATTCTTCATGCAATGTCTCGTGTGTGTGTGTGTGTGTGTGTGTGTGTCAGATACTGCAGTGTGTGTGTCTGCTGATTTAAGTGCACTGCGCGCCTCCCACACACCGACAGCCCCCCGATGCATTTGCACTTTGCAGAATGTAACGGGGCTGGTTGCACCCCCCTCACACAGCCACTGACACCCCCGTTAACTCTCTTAGAGGGAGTTAAAACGAGTCCGTGGAGCTCAGTGGGGACTTCACACTGCTCCTATCTTCATGTGTGATGTTTATAAAGTCTCTTCAGACCTGATCTGCTGCGTATTCTCTGCGTTACTGTTGTCCAGTGTATCCTATTACAGTGTGAATGAGGAACGAAGAACTCACCGATCAGTGCGAGGTGGAGCGGGCCCGGCATGTCTGCTGCAGTGCTCCGCATCCCTCCCTCCTCCGAAAGGACAGACCACAGATCTCAGCTGCAGATGCGCTCTGGATGTGACTGGAGGCCGTCAGGAGGAGCGCCGTGCTCATGGCGGGCTGTCCTGTCTGTGTGCGGGCTCAGCTGTCTGCGGTGCAGAGGGAGACAGACAGGCAGAGAGAGAGACAGACCGAGCTGTGGTCAGATCAGGATCTGCTCTGCTGCACCACCGACGTTGGAAATAACCCCCTGCAGCTGCCTGCTGTTGCCCCGGGTGGCCGCTGGGTGTCGCTGCCGCAGACAGACTCGCTGCTGCGTTCAGGTGCGCCTCGGAAAACTGTGACTCCCAACTTTTATTGAAGAATATACAGAACATGTAAAAGAAAATGACCAATAAGAGACCAGCTGAGCAGAGTTAGGAGGATACAGTTAATTTAATTTAGTACACCTATCACAATATTTAAATAAAATACTTTCCATTACTTTTACACCTAATAATTAAAATATATAAATAAAGACAAGACAAAGAAATATCAGTGAGAAGATATTTCATCCTTCAATATAATGAGTATATCTGGTGACTGGAAGTAACTGATGTAATCACTTCATGTTAATATGTCTATGAATATCTTCTCACTGATATTTCTTTGTCTTGTCTTTATTTATATATTTTAATTATTAGGGTAAAAGTAATGGAAAGTATTTTATTTAAATATTGTGATAGGTGTACTAAATTAAATTAACTGTATCCTCCTAACTCTGCTCAGCTGGTCTCTTATTGGTCATTTTCTTTTACATTTTTTGTATATTCTTCAATAAAACTTGGGAGTCACAGTTTTCCCGAGGCGCACCTGAACGCAGCAGCGAGTCTGTCTGCGGCAGCGACACCCAGCGGCCACCCGGGGCAACGCAGGCAGCTGCAGGGGTTATTTCCAACGTCGGTGGTGCAGCAGAGCAGATCCTGATCTGACCACAGCTCGGTCTGTCTCTCTCTCTGCCTGTCTGTCTCCCCTCCTGCACCGCAGAACAGCCTGAGCCCGCACACAGACAGGACAGCCCGCCATGAGCACGGCGGCTCTCTCTGACGGCCTCCAGTCACATCCAGAGCGCATCTGCAGCTGAGATCTGTGGTCTGTCCTTTCGGAGGAGGGAGGGATGCGGAGCACTGCAGCAGACATGCCGGGCCCCGCTCCACCTCGCACTGATCGGTGAGTTCTTTCGTTCCTCATTCACATTGTAATAGGATACACTGGACAACAGTAACGCAGAGAATACGCAGCAGATCAGGTCTGAAGAGACTTTATAAACATCACACATGAAGATAGGAGCAGTGTGAAGTCCCCACTGAGCTCCACGGACTCGTTTTAACTCCCTCTAAGAGAGTTAACGGGGGTGTCAGTGCTGTGTGAGGGGGGTGCAACCAGCCCCGTTACATTCTGAAAAAGTGCAAATGCATCGGGGGGCTGTCGGTGTGTGGGAGGCGCGCAGTGCACTTAAATCAGCAGACACACACACTGCAGTATCTGACACACACACACACACACACACACACCACACGAGACATTGCATGAAGAATAATTCAGATTCAGATTCAGAAAATCTTTAATAATCCCCAGAGGGAAATTATATTCGTTACAGTATTTCTGAATCTGAATCTGAATTATTCTTCATGCAATGTCTCGTGTGATGATAATAATCATCATCATCACATTAATTGTTTTTTACTGGATGGAGGCTTGTCAGCATGTTTTTGCACTGTCATGGATAATGATAATACATTTATTGATTATGTGATGAAGCAAAACTAAGCTTTTATGTTTTGATCAGGCTTGTAGAGGCTATGGAATAAAATAAAAATACAATAATATAAAGATGATGTTCTTAAAATTCCTTGTTTTTCAGAAATATATTCTGTTTACAATCATATAAATTATTAAAAAAGCAGCAAAAATCTCACATTTAAGAGGCTGGAATCAGATTTTATCCCTGATAAATTGCTTAAACAATTAGATAATTAAGATATTTTCAATATCTTATCAATAGGTAATTATCTACAGATTATTTTCTCCAATGAATCGATTAATCGTTTTGTCTTCAACATGA